TGAGCAGAGCCAGATGGAGTAATGGGGAGGAGCAGACCTCAAAGACACCAAACCTGCAGTAGGATTTGAAGAGCTGTCTGCACGGGAACGCTGCCAGCAAGGCAAGGCTAAGGTGACAGCCTGTCCTGGGAGAAGCTTTCTGGCTTTGCTGAGGTATTGGATATCAAGATCTGATCCTGCATCCATCCAAGCCCAGAAGAGCTTCTCCACTGACTTTAGAGGCATCTCTGAACAATCTCTTGGCTTTTTTTTTCCCCATTCTAAATAAGTATCTCACAGAGAGAGTACTGCATTCCCTTGACCTGTCTCCCAGGCAGGTCATCTGCTGTTCCTCTAATTACAGCAGGAGTCAAAATGGCTGTTACCATGTCCTGATCACAAAGGGACAGTAGAAGAGACCTGCCTGCAAAAGTCCTTGCCAGGAAAAGAAGCTTTTATTGCATTCTCGAGCTGGAGGAACATTTTTGGATAGATGGGACAGTGAAATAAGACACGGGCTGTGTGAGTCATGGCTCAGATGTGCTCACTATTCCAAGGGGACAGCTGGTGGCACTAACAAAACGTCTCCCTAGATACATTGTCTGGCAGCAATCCCCCTCCTGCTTTTTCCAGCTGTAACTACCGTTACGTGATAAATAAATAAACGCTCTGACAGTGATGTGCAGAGGCAGCTTTCCTTCCCTCGGCCCCCGTAGGCTCTCACCTGTCCCTCTCCTCCCACCACAGGACCTACAGTGCCAAGATTTAGAAGACAGTGACAGTGAAACAGTGGTGTCAGCAGCTGCAGTGTCCCACGGCTTCCACCCGGACGGTGCCCGCGGGATCCGTGCGGGGTGGTGGCCCCCCGTGAATAGCATCGCCCCAACGCTGAAGCGGAGCCACGATGCTGGCAGAGATAAGTGATGCTCTCACCTCCTTGCCTTATCTTCACACCTAAAGCCTGGGCCTCCCTGGCTGGTGGTCCCCAACCCTCGCCCACCCATTGCCACGCTGCTGCAGAGCTGGGAAGGGGTCTGTTTCGTTGTCCGTACGATTAATTCAAAGCCCTACTGGAAGTTAATCACGACTCCAAGCAGCACAACCTCCTTCCTGCTGGGTTTCTGCTGCAGTTTTACTGGGAGCAGTTGAAGGGGAGGGTCAGCAGCAGCTCAGAGCCACAGCAGTTTACATTCTGCACCCCGCCGTGCTAACGAAGGGACGGTGCGGAGAGCTGCCCGCCCATCCTGGGCTCTCTGAAGTTTGCACACACACAGCAGCAAATCCTCGCTGGCGTTTGACTCTAAATTTTAACGCAGCTCCAGACACCAGCAAATCAATTAAAGTTCCTTACTGCTGAAGCCGGAGTGTTTTCTGGAGCAGCTGGTGAATTATTGAATGAGACAAGGCTTAGGAAAAGAGGCTGGACTGAAAGGCGGAAAGATTTTGTTTATGCACAAATATTGTGTATCCAGCAGCCGGGGATGTGCCCTTTGGGCTAAGATCAAGTGTAACGATCAGTTTAACATCAAATAGTCTTTCTGGAAAGACTGGCTGAAGTTTGAAGAGAGGGATCATCATGAGACATGGTGATCCGAGAGGTGGCTCTTCTCTCTAAATGCCACGACCCCGTGAAAGCTGTCACGAATGCGCAGCCTTTGTCTGAGTCACTGCTTGAATCATGTAGACCGTGAGATGCCCCTCATGGGTTATGGATGTTTCTGGGGCTGGGTGGGACATGGTGTCCATTCCATAAGCTAATCTGGGAAGGGTGGGCTGGAGGAACACCTTGCATGCCTGCTAAGGTGATCCAGCCTGCCTGCCGCCCCGTTAACGCCGGCATCAGCAGAACTTCCCAGTGCTTCTTCTGGATCCCGCGGGAAAAAGGACCCTTCAGGACGCTGGTGTACAGCAGGGAGGAGAGCCCTGAGCTCCCACGTGGCAGATCTCAGGTGACATCCCCTTTCTCACTCAGAGGCAAAATGTCACTGATTTCAGCAAGGCGAGTTCCTCACCGTGCTTTGGATTCCTAGCACCTCTTTGGTTTGGTTTTTTCCTCTCCCCTTTGGTCTGTTTGTAACAGAGGGACAGATCCAGCCCAGGGCTGCATGGCCATGTGCTTCTTCCAGCCATCCCATGGCATCGCACGAGCCCCGTTACGCAGCACCGATGGGAAACCAGAGCCCCTCTGATTTTGGTCTGCACTGCACAGTGGAACTAAGAAATTTTCAGGATGACTGACTTTGAAATGTCATTAAAGTTATTTTTATGCAGGGGGTTTTAGTGTATCTGTTTAAATAGCAAATATACTAAATGATGCTTTAAATATTAATAGGAGAGGGTGCTTTGCTGAATTTAACTTCGTCAATTGATTTCAAGCTCTTATGTATATTACATGGAGGAACATTTGCTATTTTTGCTGCCTGCAAGAGGATGCAAGTAGTGGAGAAGCTATTGGTGCCTTTACAGGTGGGCTGGGAGGAAGAGGAACCAAAATGAAGACAAGAACAAGTCAGCTACTCGCACCAGTTGGGAAAATCAGGAGGACAAACAGGAAAAGATAAACCAAAAAATCTATTACTCTCAATTCCAAATTTTCCTTTACCTGCAGAAAAATAAATAGGAAGAAGGGGAAAGAGGACTAATTTGTGAAAGCTGATCAAATATGTATCTGTATATATTTGGAAATGTTATTAAAACGTTGCGGGTTTGAACCAGATCTAGAGTCACTTACCAGCTTAAATGTGATTTAAATAATACTTTTTTGCCTTTCCAAAAGCAGGGATCACTGTAGAGACTTGCTTTGTCCCTCCTGCCTTCGCTAGGTGGTTCTGCTCCTCTCTATTCCTCGTGGCTGACTAGGAAAGGACAGGCATAGTGATGCTCAGGCACCCTAAATCATTCTGAACTCCACCAAACTGAATCTCCAGCCCAGATATTAGCTTCTTTTAGGAAGAAATAATTTATGTCTTCCTGTCCTTTGACATGTGGCTTTCCGGAAGACACAGATGAGATATCACTGTAAATAAGCTCAGTGGTAACAAACGCTTATATAAAGCCCTGAAATATGTAGGATTTAGGATTTTTTTCTTTTTAAGTGGCTTATGATCTTTCTAGTGCTGCTTGCAGTGCTCATGCTTTATAGCCCTACTCCTGCTTACAGCCACGTCTATTCCATGGCCTGTTCTCATGCAGCTTTTACTGGGGAGATTACAGCAATATGCTTGCAGCAGCAGTCCTGAATAAAGGTGTCCTGTAGCTAGAAGGGAAAAATAATGGATGGGATCAAAATGACGCAACAAGATATATAACTAAACTTTAAAAAGACACTACAAATTTCCTTTGCTCTTAGCTACTGATATTTGTACACTACACGTCATGTAGTGACATGAGTTGGAGCTGGGAACGTTCAGCATCTCTGGAAATCAGGCTTGACATGACTCGGGAAGGACACCAAGCCCAAGAATGAGCTTCCTTACCTTGAAGCTGTGGGAGAAACGTAGCAGAGGAGCATCCCAGAGGGACGTATCCCCAGGTGAGCATGTCTCCGCTGTGCAGGGGCTGAAGGAACCTTTGGGACCTTTAGGCTCGAAACCCCCACAGCCCATTTACTCCTAACACGCACTGGGAATGAGCCTTGGTGCCGATCCCCTTCCCTTTGGAGCCAGAGCACAAGCCATCGACTCCAGACAAGATCTCTTGAGATTTTGCAAACCTAGTGCCAACCCAGTAAAATAAGAGTAACTTGGATTTATTTATTCTCCAAAAAGTGGATTGGTTTTATTAAAAGCAAATACAATTTATTTTACATCCCCAAGCTAAGCCCTCCCACCCCCACCCTTTGCAAGTATACCCACACAGCCTTAGTCTCGATCAGCTGCCAGAAAGAAGATCCACTTACCACTTTTCTTCACGTATATTGCTTCTATCAATTAAAAAATAATAGTAAATGTTCTCTGTGGACAGTAACATCTGAGGTTCAGATCTACCAAAGGCAATGGCCATAGTGAAGGACGGACAAGGGCTAGTCCGTGCACCTCTTGTGTCTGATTCTGTCATGGCTTGGTCCAGTTTCTCTGGAACTACTTGTATTTTAACCTTTCCTGATTAATAATGTTCAGGAATGGAAAGACCCTGGGATGAGATACCTATACTGCACCTGACAGACTTGGCACGGGGCTTTTTGCAGATCGTGTAATTACAACCTTCAAGGCAGTGTGAGCAAGTTCTTAAATTTTACAAAGGCTCTTGTGTTTCTTTACTTAAAAAAAACTCCAAACATTTTAAGTATTTTTTTCACAGGCAGTGATGTTAGTTTTTCTTTTTTGATGAGGAATAGCACACAGAGGTGGAAGAGAGAAATTTCCTCTTGGGAGAAGCATTTGCATTCTAATCATTGCTGCTTTATCTTGGAGCATGAAACTCGAGGAGCGCGAGACTCCACAAATAGAAGTCAAAGTGCCCGGTCTCACTAGCAGAGCAAGGCAGATTGCTGCTTGCTCAGGAGCTGACAGATAAAAAGTTAATGGTACAAAGCACAAACCAGGTGATACATGAAAATGAAGCAACAGCACAAATAGCAAGAAAACAAGTAAGTTCTTAAAAATCGGTGTGCGTGAGCGAAGGGCATTTTTGTTTGGTCCCTGAAGAAGAGATGGGATTTACCACGTGTGTGAACAAGTTCTGCTCTCTGGGGCAATGGCAGAGGCTTCAGGGGGTCCAGGATTGCTACTCTGAATTATGCTGGTACAACAAGATCCTAATTTGACTAATGGAGTTTGGCCTGGTAGCATTAAGGTCACCATACAGGTGTAGCCCATAAACCTCAAGAGTGCTGGAGAAAATAGTTCCCAGGATAAGGATGCGTGGTTACGTCAAAGGAGCACGCAGGTGCACGGTGCCAACCTTTCTTTTACACAGCCACGACGAAGGTGGGAGGAGGAGCCGTGTTCTGATGCCTGCCCCACAACGAATCCCCCAAATTATTAGATCTTGGCTCACATCAGCATAGCTTAGCTTCACAAAACGCCTTCATTTCTGTCCTGCTCTTACTCGCTCTTCCCTGGTTTTTGCTCGGGGTTGTCCTTCCAGATGCGGATTGTGAGGCAGGTGGCCATGGCCAGCCAGCCCAGGTAGGGCACCAGCAGCAGCGCCGCTATCTTGTTAATGCGGTACCAGGAGCACACGGTGCCCGTCGCCAGCGCGTCCAAGCACAGGATGTCAATCAGCGCCTGGAGAGCAGAGAGAGGACAATGACTGCGACGCTCCTTCTGGGGAACACGCAGCGGTCTTCCTCGGCACGGCTATAAACCATCCTGCTAAAGGCAGTGAGATGGAATGAGGGAGATTCAGCATGGAAAAGTCACCAGGAGCGATCCTTGGCTCTGAACTCTAATCAGTGAGACCTGAGTGTATGACACCAGGAGCCAAGACTAATATTAATTTTTTTGTTCGTTATCAAGTTCCGCAGATTAATACACTGTTTGTGACGCCCAGTGTCCCCTTCTGCTGCTAACATCTATGCAGACGGATCAGAAAAATGCTTGTGATAGTACCAATGGCTATTACCCCTCGACAAACTTTCTAAGTGCACCACTTTTCATCCAGAGGGACAAAATTCGGATGGAAACGTAAGTCCCACTGTGTGCCTCTATCACCTCGGGGCCGTGGCTAAGTGCTTTTTGAATATAGCCCAAGTCCAGCTCAGCTGTGCCATCCCTTACCTTCCTGCATATCCCCCTAACAGGCTCTGTGATGCACAGTGCGTTGTGTTTGCTCGATAAGCTGCTCCCAGCTCACATCCCTGCCCAGGGATGCTGACTTTGCCGCTTGCCAGGGCAGGGTGTGACTGCCTGAAGGGCTTATCTCTACCCCCGGATCCTTAACTAGGAGATGCAGCAGCTGGGCTATGGACTCCCTGATCTCCCGCCTGGCTCTGGGCGGGCTGGCTATCTGCATGGCGAGAGCAGGGTGAGGAGTGGAAGGAACTGATACCATTGTCCAGAACCAGGTGCAGCGTGAATTATAGCTGAGCAGAAGCTCTCCTGGCCGCTCTCGTTGTAATTGCACAACGCTAGTTAGAAAACCTCCAAACCACCCCAAAACCCGTGGCAGGGACACCGGCAAACCTCCAGCAGACGGATGGTTGGCCGGATACGTTACCATCTTCAGGTTATGTGTGCCGAAGAAGAAGTGGGGCCAAGCCCAGTTCAGGGCCAGCTGAGCCCCGTAGAGGCCAAGCGGGACGATGGCTTTGCTGCTGCAGCCACCCAGGTCGTTCCATACGAGGTAGGAGGCGTAGCTGTCGGGGGGAAACACATCAGAGTGGTGCAGTGAGTAAACCCCTCGTAGGGACAAAGTCTTGTAGGACCGTTTCGCAGCGAGGGGTTGCGGGACAGTGGGATTGGTGCGGCAGGACTCTCGGACCCGCCGCCTGTGTCACACTCGCGTGGCTCAAACGATTTCCCCAGGGCAGCGGCTGGTTTTAGTGTCTGGTTACAAAGCTGAGCATGGCCTGGCCAAAAGCATCGCCTGCAGTGTGAATCTGAGGAGCTCAGCCCAGAATTTGGCTCAGGCTGTGCTTCATCTGCTGGGAATAAGCATACCTGACGTGCCTGGCTGATTCGGGTACGAGGGATATCCCGAAAGCAAACGGAAAAGTTTGAAATGTCTGTTCTTCCCTGTATCCGAAGCAGCAGGAGGAGAGAGGGAGCGATACGCAGAACTTACCCCATGCCAGTGTACAGCACAGTCCAAACAACAGGGAATATTTTGCGGGGTGGACACCACGCAGGTTTTTTCAGCTTGTCGTACCAAACAGGAGTTTCTTTTCGGTTAATGAGCCAGCCAAGGAAACCTCCAAGGTGAGGCAGGACAGTAAAACCGACAGTGTAAGTCCACATCCTTCCTCGGTGGTTTGAAGTAGCCTTTTGCCTGCTGTAAGTTAAAAACAATAACTGATGATCACTTTAAAAGCACATTTTTTCCTGCTTTGATCTTTCAAGCTTTTTCCCTAATTGCCCATATCCCACTTTAGTCTCTAAGGCAGAAGGTGAGTATTTAATACTGTGTTCAGCTCTGCTACTGACTCCCCTCTGCCCACCTCCCCATCGCTGAAATAGGGGTGATTATTTCTGTCATGGTTACATTTTTCCCCTTGATCTAACCCAGCAAAGTGCCTCCCCCTGCTATTTCACAGCTTCTTACAATATTTGTGTGCCAGCATTCAGCTAAGGTGGTGGTATTCTTAGGAGATAAGACTGCAGTGACTTTTATCGTTCCTCCCTGAGTGCCCAAGTCAGACAGCACACAAACTTTCATGGACGTTCACGGAGGCTACGCATCTCAGCAGAGCTGGTCTCTCTCCTCTGCGTGCTGTTCTGAATATGAAAACCCAGACAGAGCATGCCCAGAAACCCTCGTGCATTCTCACTTCATCTATTTTTTCACCGTGGATTTATATTTTCAGTGAGGTCTGTAACAAGGCAACACCCTTAGAGCAAATTTTAAGAGCTCAGTGAACCTTGCCGAACCCTCCCTGCAGTCCTTGCGGGCAGAGGTGGATTCTCACCTCTGTAAACAGGTAAGAGAAGGCACGAGAGCAGTTTCTTAATTTGCTCACGGTCTTTCTCTTGCATAAAAGGAAGGCACATTTACTTTAATAATTACATTATGCTCCCACATGAGTCAGCTGTGATAAGGATAATGCCTCACATTTCATCCTCTGTCCCATATCTTGCCCTGCCCTTATTCTCCATAGGGCTCTGAACCTGCCAGTCTTCTCTCCTCCTTCCCCTGGTCTCTATATTCACCTGCCCTTTTGAGCCATTAAGGAATTAAACCCAAATTAGCATTCATGGAGGATAACACCTAGGATTTGCCAGGAGCACAGCACTTTTGTGCTGTCAGCAGAAGCACAAAACGCACCTGAGCAAATGCACTGGGAAAAATTGGCTTTGAGCAGAGCAAGAAAAGAGAAGCAGGCACAGAAAATTCCCTCGCCTGGAGAATCGTCCCTGACACTCTGAGCTGGTCAGAGAAACAGGGAGCACAAGGAGAGGACAGATCTGCACCAGCATCTCTGTTTGGGATGTTAATTCCCAGCTCAACACTTTGCTATAGCCTATGTTAATTGTTATTATGATCATCGTGCTACAAAGCATTCAGCTTTAGAAATGCACGCCAGCAGTACCAGCCAATTTACACATCACTAAGGAACGAATACCCCGGACACCAGCTCTAACTAACAATTTCTTTACCAGACAATTTATAGTGCTATTAAAGTGTCTGTGGAACCAGAAAATCAACCGAACACTGAGAAAAATAATAGCTGTTAGTCCGGCTTTTAAAGTGTAAAACAGCACCAGCTGAGTTCTGGTTCCTCCATAGTAATTCAGAAAAGTGAAATGGGAAAAGTAGAATTTTCCCCTCCTCCCAACTCCTTTGTATTTGCCAGACTAACTGCAGAAGTAACCAAGGGCTGAAAATAACACAACAGTGTTGGAAAACCTTATTTTGTCTCACAGCTGTTATAACTTCAGAGGGTAGGAGCTGTAAAAAACCTTACCGTCTCTTCCTGCCCTTCTCTTCCTTGCAAAGAAAAAGGGTCGGACATCCAAGGCCGGCTTCTGTCTCTAACGCTGGTGCTGCTACAGTGAAGGAACTGTCGGCTGAGTTTTACCTAAATAGCAGAAAAAAGGGGGTGTGTGCGTGCGCCGGATCAGATTACACAAGAGAGCCCACGTTTGGCAAGAATTGCAGGGGGTTTGGTGGTGGTTGAGCAAGAGGGAGGGCAGGACGGGTTCTGGGTCCGGGCAGCGCCGAGATGGGACATCTGAGGCTCTCGGCTCGGTTTGAGGAGCAGCATCTCGCCGGGAGGTCGGAGGGTGGCTGCGTGGGACAGAGGAGCACCCTTCTGTCTGTCTGGGAGTGCACTGGGCGTGTGAAAGTGTAAACTCAAGCGTGTCACGTACAGATGAGCGTGGTAATTGTGTAAGAGCTTGTGCATTAGGGGTCAGGTCTGCAACAGCAGGACTTCTGCGTGTGTTACATGGATGTGAGCTCTGCTGGTCTCCTCCAGCTGAGGACCTGTCCCAGAGCGTGTCCATGGGTGTGAGGGCAGGACAGAAGCCTGCTGCACGTACGGGGCCATCCCTACCGTGCCGGTCCCTGGTGCACATTTAACACAACATTAATTAACCAGATGCTTCGGTGGTCGCCTGTACACCAGCCTTTTGGCTAAAATTCGCTGGAAACCACCTGAATCTAAAATGAAGACGTTACACAAGCATGTTAAACGAAAAAGAAAAAAGCTAGAAATCAATTTCCATTAGTAAGCTGTCTGCAAGGGATGGGAAATTAAACACTAATTTACTTCAGTTATGGGTCATTACCTGGATTTCATGGCCAGAAGCAGAATTGCTGGTTCCTAGCAGAACGCGACGGTACAGTTACATCACAGAACCAATGAGATCTTCTGTTTTATGGGGCTCAGAAGGAAATTATTTTTTGTGGGAGGAGAAAGAAAGAAAAAAAAAACACGGTGCAAAGGGACAGATTTTCAGCTACTGTAAATCAATGCCCTGCTGTTGTACAGCGTGATTGCTGCTTTGGAACCGGGGTGCAGCGCGCATCGATCAAGCCGTAGCCGCTGCGTGTTCTGCCAGAGTCTGTTGCTGTTTGCGACTGGAAACTTCCATCGTGCCACCATGCAGCTACTGGATGAGACTGGGTGGTTTCTGCTGCTGTCAGCCACTTCTCTGCTGAAGCCATCACCGTGCAGGTCGCTGGGCAGCGATCGCCTTCACCAGGCTGTGGCAACTTGGTTGCCAAAATTTGGCAACTGCAGATCAACAGTTTTTAGTTGGTTGTATTTCCTTCCCTGAGCTTGAGCACAAAACTGTGATTACTGGTTTGCTAGGCAAGTAGTGGTTGTATTCCCAGGCTGTTTAGAATCATAGAATCATAGAATGGTTAGGGCTGGAAGGGACCTTCAAAGGTCATCTAGTCCAACCCCCCTGCAAGGAACAGGGATATCTCCAACTAGATCAGGTTGCTCAGGGCCTTGTCCAACCTGACCTTGAACGTCTCCAGGGATGGAGCATACACCACCTCTCTGGGCAACCTGTTCCAGTGTTGAGTCTGATATGCTGGAAGAATTAAAAACTAAGGGTCAAATCACAGAGATCTCAGTAGATCTGTGAAGCTGGGGATGCTGCTGCGCGGCTGGGGAATAGCAAAGGTAAAGAGGAAAAAAATAGCAGAAGCAATTACAGGCCTTAAAGTCATGTATCGGTCTTACTTGAGCTTGAGAGGAAAGAAAGGGGCAAGCGAAGATGTGGAGGGAAGTGGAAAAAAGTGAAAGTAGGTAATAGATTTGCCCAGAGTGGGTCACAGAGGCTGGATGCCATTGCCTGGGCAGGCGTCTGTTTCCTAAACATGAAGATGTGGTACCCCTTGCTTGCCTGGACCTCTGAACAGCCTCTGTTGGGGTGGGGTTCGTTAGGGAATGACGGGTGGAACGAAGTCGAAGACGCTGTTGGACGGCAGCAGGGCTGGGGGGCAGATGGGCAGGAGAGACAGCCAGAGGGAGCGCAGAAAGGCAAGGATCAGGTTTGGGAAGGGTCTTTGGTGGCACCAGCCAGGGATCAGTTGTGGGACCCAGAGTGGTTTTAAATACGGTACGAGCACGTGCACGTGCCCCAGCCCTCCCCTTGGGCAGGTGAGCACGGGCCACGGGACGGAGCGGTCCTGCAATAACCCGGAAGGACTTTCTCTAGCCTAATATTGCTTTTCCTCTGTTACCACAGATTTATGTCTCAATAGTTCTGGTTTGAATCGTTTTACAGTAATACGAGATGAGGTAACACTACCTCTTAGCAAAATAATTTCTATTCTATGTCAGGGTGTGCTTCTGATTATTAAAGTGACGCTCCTGCTGGGTTTCGGATCGCTGCCGTATCGCTGCAATGTGTTTTCGTGAAAGAAAAGACATGGGAGAACTGAGTTACACAACCCTGTTTGTTTTCCTCTTCTTAGCAACCTTTGCACGTTGTCCCAAGAGGTTCTCTGTCTATGCCAGATTAATTGCCCAAATATAAAAGCCCTGTTAACCTGAATATATTCTTGAAAAACAGCATATTTCAATCTGCCCTAGATTTGAAAATAGAGATGCCGGGTCAGCTCCTGGCATAAATCTGCAATGCTCCTCGGAAGCCAGCGGAGCTTCTCTGATTTACATCAGCAATAAAGTCGTCCTGGTTTGTCTGCTGCTGATGAGAGCACGAGCGTGCTCGCCGAGCTGCCGCAAAGGACACGGTGGTGGCCTGGGAGGAACCTTCATGGCAATCACCATCTTCTGAGCATCTCAAAGCTGCCAGCCTTGGCAATGCAGAATAAAACAATTTTTGGTATGAAAAGCCTTTTTTTTAAAAAAAAAAAACAACCACCCTACTTTTGTTTCTAATGAATAAAAGCTTGTCTTTAAAAGTTTCCAGTTATGTTGAAATAAAAATTCTGGATAATGTGAAATGATATAGGAATTTCCAGCTGGTCAACTGTTATTTTTTTTTCTACGTGGGCTGAGGTGGCCCTGGACCAGCCAGTGCAAGAGCTCACAGCCCCTCAAACCACGGATGTGGATCACTCCGTGAGCTCAACCCTGCAGCTTGAATTTCCAGACTCTCTCCACTAGAGGGAATTTTAAAACAGATCTTTCTTAGCATTAATTCCAGTTTTCAGCGTGTTAAGAAGTATTGCGTGCAGGACACTGCTGTATCTGGATGCTCAGGAGCACTGGCCCTTCCATAAGACACGAGATCCTTTCGGGGTCCTGGCTGACCGTAGCAAATCACAGGAACAAATTCTGTTGTGGGATGAATTGCAGAAAAGGCTCTTTAATTTTTTAGGGCTCAGCTTTTGATTTCTCTCTGCCCGTGGGGAGGACCAGGCTCATCCTGGCTCCCCGCTCTCCCATGCCTGGGGCACCTGCATCCTATGGGGCTGTGCTGGTGGCCGGCTGCGAGCTGAGGGGCCGGGCTGAGTTTCAAAAATATCGGAGCTTCTCGCGGCGCTGCTTGTCGGCAGCAGAGCGGGTGAGGGCTGGTGAGCAGAGCTGCCCACGTGTGATAACCGGAGGGGAATGGGTCGCTCTTATCGAAGTGGCAGAAGTTGCACCTCGGTAGCCAAAAGAAGAAACTTTTAACAGACACAGTTCAACGCCTTCTTTCCCGTTAGGAGCAGCTGAGTGTGGGGACAGGCAGATGACTGCAATCAATTAAGTTATGCAGCTTAACGAATTACCGCGCTCTAGCTGAGCCTCGTTAATTAACCGCGTGCACAGACCCAGCCCAGCGCTGATGTGACATAAAATATTTTGCCCTCAACTACCGTGACCAGTAATACCTGCTTTACTGGAGCGGTTGATAGCGCTAATTTTGACTCGCAGCAGTCAAATTAGCGAGAGCACACAGCTCTGGCATCCCTGCCCACACCGTGCCACGTCGTCCACCCGTATCGCGTGGTGCACGGTGGGATGCCAGGCTTCTGGCAGAAGGGGTTGTGCAGAGGGCTGGCTTTTTGTCTCAGAGGGCTCAGCCCTTGCATCAGGAAAAAAAAAAAAAGAAAAAGCTGCAGAAATGGTACAAAGTCACTGGCGGGGTGTTGTATTGCGGTGGGTTGTTATCACAACTCAGCTGCTTAGTTATGTCTTACCAAGTCATGATGGCAACCCCTGTGGTAACGTCAGATGGGGGTACGGGGTTTAAAGTGAGCCAGAATAATAGTGTTCACAAAGGATTTTATAATGCCTTAACATAGCAGTTTGAAATGCGTTTCAAGGTCTTTCCTACGTGTGGAGTTAATTGAGAAAAGCTATTGCAGTTTCAAGTGATGCTCTCACTTAAATCAAGTTCACTTTCATGTGCTGGTGTGCCCTAAATTACACTGGTGCGGATTTCCAGCCAGGCGAGGCTTTGTAGTGAGGGCATGATGTTCACACGTTAGGAAAAAACTGGGGAGAGGATTTTCCACCTGGTACTTTCAGAGGAAAGCCAGGAACTGAGGGGCAGTGCTTCCCTCCCCGAGCTCTTCAAAAAGCAGCAGATAACCTCTGCACCCTGAGCGGTGTTTTCTGCAGCTATCAGAAAAGCTTTTGGATATTTCCCCACCCGGGTGGTTCAGGTGGTGAACTGGGGAAGGAAGATGAGCACCAGCGACAGGCAGCGATGGCCGAACTCTGCCAGGCTGGATGCCTCATTCCCAGAGCGGGATGGCATCGCCCTTCGCTGCACGCGCCGTGCCCGACGCAGCCTCCTGCCTCTGAGTCAGAATTTGCTTTTCCCTCCTGCTACTGCAGCATGGCAGAGCTGGCAGCGAGGGCAGGTCAGGGTCCTTCGCAGGGACTCGTCCACGTTTGGGGGGAATCTGTCAAGTACAGAAGGGGGAAGTACAAAATCTGGCAACGAGCTTTGTCCAGGCGTTAGGGAAGGCGTTAGCCAGCCTGCAACGGGTTTTTCTTTTGCTGATTGTGAAGAAGAAAGGGACCCACTCTCTTGGATTTTCAGTGGCAGGAGTTTTCCACCGTGATTTATTAATTCAAGGCTTCCACAAGACTTGAGAAGCGATG